AGAAGTTTATGACGTGCTCAAGTAATGTGGCACAACAATCCATGAAAAATGCTGCTTGCGAAGAAGTTCAGCTAACGGGTTCTTCAAATGTGGTGTGGTTAGCGGCGATGGTTCATGGAAAACCAGGGGACACACATCACGAATAAGGTGTGTGTACCGTTATTGGAGACAAAAGTGGTAAGGTTCTCGACACAGAGGTTCTTTCATCTTTTTGTAAGGCATGTGATACATGGAATTCCATGAAAGGTACACCAGAGTACGATAACTGGAAAATATCGGGTTGGAGGGAAAGTTCTGTCGTCGTATTTTAAATAGGCAGGTGATTTTTCTTGTAAATAAAAAAAAAATCTGGCCTAGTGAGTCATTCGGATTTATTTTTTTAAAATTTTTTTATTTTTCAGCTGCTGTATAATATAAAAAGGTGCTTCTTTTTACCGTTCATCATTTACTTGTAATATTTAAAGGAAAAACATGTCAGGTAGAATAAAGTGCATTTACGACACTGCATTTTGTATGAATTCCAAAAAGGAAGCAACGCATCTGTTGCATGTAAAAATTTATGTGCGGTATTTGGAAAAGATATTGTAAATGTTCGTACTCGTCAAAGATGGTTTAGCAAATTTCGTTCCGGGGACCTAGGCCTCAAAGAAAGTGTTCGATCTGGACGACCATCCAAGATCGATAATGATGTTTTGCGATCCATGTTGGAAAATAATCCACATTTAACAAGTCGAGAAATTGCAGAAGAGTTTGGCATTCATCATACAACTGTTGGAGATCACATTAAATCTCTTGGGTTTGTGTTAAAGCAGAGTGTTTGGGTTCCACATGAATTAACGGGAAAGAATTTGTCTGATCGTGTAAGAATATGTTCATCACATCTGATTAGACACAATGTGGAGCCGTTTATGGACAGGCTGGTTACTGGAGATGAAAAGTGGATTCTTTACGAGAATATTAAAAGAAAAACATCTTACTGCAAACCAGGAACATCATCAGCAACAGTTCCAAAACCAAGTATCCATCAACGAAAAGTACTGCTTTGTTTGTGGTGGTTTGAAAGGTCCAGTGTATTACGAGTTGCTGAAACAGGGAAAAAACATCAACGCGGATCTGTACTGCAATCAGATGGATAAATTGAATGCAGCTATCAAAGAAAAAAGGCCAGCATTAGCGTCCAGAAAAGGAATAGTGTTCCATCACGATAATGCTCGCCCGCATACTGCAGTGGTGACACTACAAAAACTGAATGCGTTAGGATGGGAAATCCTTAGTCACCCCCCGTATTCACCTGACATTGCACCCTCTGATTATTACCTGTTCAGATCTCTGCAAAATTATCTAACGGGAAAAAAATTCAAGTCTTTTGAAAGTGTTTCAAAGGCAGTTGCTGACTATTTTAACTCCATGGATGAGAACTTCTACAAAACAGGAATTTACAGGTTACCTTTATAAATGAATTCAAATATTTTCTTTAAAATACGACAGAACTTTCCCTCCAACCCAATAAAACATGAAGCGGAGTGTCTTATGAATTACAATGGTTCTGCGGGTAAAATGGAGGTCGTCGGTATGGTTCGGATTTTCCAGCGGTCAGAAACGAAGCATGATGTAAAATATATTGGATACATAGGCGATGGAGATTCCAAGACGTTTCAATCTATAACGGAGGCCCAGCCCTATGGTTCTGATGTGTCCGTTTCTGAATGTGTTGGTCATATTCAGAAGATAATGGGAACGCGGCTCAGAAAATTGAAACAGAAAAACAGAAAGGTATAAAATGTGCAGATGGAAAATCTATAGGAGGAAAAGGTCGTTTGACTGATACACAAATTGACAAATTGACTGCGTACTATGGTAATGAAATTCGAGAACACAAAACTTCTTTGGTGGAAATGCGTAATGCTATATGGGCAATCTATTTTCACACACGGTCAACTGATGTCGAACCGCTGCATACTTTTTGTCTAATAGGTCCCAATTCTTGGTGTAAATACCAAAAAGCTGTAGCTAATGGAACTGTGAGTGAATTCAGACATAAACCAACACTTCATTTTTGTGTTATGGATGTTATTAAACCAATATTTAATGATTTATCACAACCGACACTATTGCGAAGATGTCTTGGCGGAAAGACACAAAACTGCAATGAAATCTTTAAATAATTTGATTTGGAAATTGTGTCCCAAGACCCTTGGTTCAGGAAAGAAGAATTGCTGAAATAGCAACGAGTGAGGCCACAATACTTTACAATGAAGGTAATCAGGGAAGATTAAAAGTTATGACGGAACTTGGGCTGTCAGTTGGTTCGTGTTGTCGAGCATGTCTATGTAAATTAGACGAGCAACGTGTGAAAACTAGTAAATTGCGCCATTTTGCAAAGCACAAAATAAATGCGTAAGAAAAAGAGAAATAAACAAAAGGCTATTGCAGGAGAATGTGTTGTTACATGAAGGCAAAACATATTCACCTGGTGCATTTTAAATATATACGATTTACATTTTTTTTTTTTTGTTTTTTTGGACAATAACTTATATTGTCCATTTTTACAACCTGTATTGTATAATTTTAGAGAATTTTAAGTAATTTTATTCAAATACCACTCAGTATGAAAAAAATTAATCTCCAAATGACTAGCCTGAATAAAAAATGAATTTGTGTAAAAATTGTAAATTTTCTCGTCATCGCGTTAAAGTTTTCGTTTCATATTTTCATGAGTTGTGTGAACTTATTTTGTTTTTAGATGTTTTTATACTTGAGTATCCAGATATAAATAATTATATCATGTATTTGATTTAATATGAACACTTAGTTTTCTTAAATAATGCATATTTGTTTGACAAAAACATACTTTTATCTTTGAAGTCAATTTTCTCAAACTATGATTTTACTCACTGCGCGCAGCATTTCTCTGAAACGGCTACTCCAAAGTGCAACCAAATTTTACATGGATGTTTATATGCTAGATATGCTTAATATGACGAACCAAAATGGTTCTTATGTTAAAACTTTTAAAATTGTAGCTAATTTATGCCTAAAAAATTTGATAAAAATTTGAATTTTGTTTTTAAAAAATTATTTTTGCAGGAAAGGAACATTTGAATAAAATAAATCTTCGTCATTTTAAAGATACATTATTTTTCTACCATATGAAAAAAAATTGGGTTCCTCTTATGCTTTATATAGTTGCAATGCTGCGCGCAGTGAATGTCCAAATATTAGCTATAAAAAAAGGGGCTCTACATTAAAATATTTATTTAAAAGTTTTACTAATGCACATGACTTATTTAGTATTCTTAAGCAAATAAGTAAGGGTTCTACTATATGTGTTAGAAATTTCATTTTTATGGGACTATTAGTTTTCGAGATACATCACTTGTAATTTGAGTAATTTTTTGACATATTTTACCCTTCAAAAGGTACCTGACCCCTTAAAGAAAACCCTAACATCGTAACTAAACATCGCACTGAAGCATTATCAAAGTGTACAACCTACCACTCAGAGTACATTTATCTAGATAATTCCAATGCCTTTCACTGTATTTTTGGTAACAAATCAGTAGAGAAGAAACTGTAATAGATGCTGCGAAAAAGAAATTGTAATGGCTGCATGTTATTTGTTAACATACATGATTTTTTTACCCATATGTGTCAAAATCGTATATGCATTCCCAGACTACATATTGAAAAATGAAAACCACATAAGATGAAGCAATGTGCATGTGACCCATTTAAAAAATTTACCCATTTAGTTCTCCGTTTAATCAAAGATCTTGCAGTCATACAATAAATTAAGCATTTTCACTCTCCAGGACAAATGTTAAAAACATTTTGAAGAAAACAAAATACAGCATCAATTTTTAAGAACACATACATACATGTGGGAACACGCCTATAAGATGATACGATCTCCAGAGTGTATAAAAGTAAACTGAACGAAAGGTAGTTATCTGGTGTTATTTATCAGGTAAATAAATAATGGATATCCTATTTCATATAAAGTGATAAGTGACGATGGACGTGGGCACTGTCCCTTTGCCGTAAAGATTTATCAGTACAGCATCACGTCCACCCTTATCTAAAATTGGCTAGAGGAGCCTCACGAGAGCTATACATTTACATGTATACTATACTTTGTTTATATAAAAGGAGCATATCCATTTAAAGTTTGAGATTGGACAATTTTCATTCTGAGAATGGTATTGGATTATAAAAAAGGTATTATAACACCGGCTCATTCTCCCAATGAGCCAAATTATTTTAATTAACAAAGAAAATAATAGCTAGCCTTATTATATAAAAGCAGATAGTTCCTATGAAAGATTTCGGATGTCGAAATAATGAAGAAACAGCAACCATTAATTTATGCAGGAAATAATTAAAATTTTTCAGGGCCATTGATAGAAAACTATCAAAATATGCCTATTAACCCATTCGACTTAAAATAATGTATAAATAGGGTAATTTTATAAAAACTCAGTAAAACTAAACAGAGGTAATAGATAAACTTTTCACAATTGGAAAGACAGCGAATACAGAGGAAAGCGTATTTATTAAAGCTATTGAGCCTAAAGCGCATATTGATAAATTTTTTCTTTTGTCGTTTGATATGATAAGAATGTTTTTGAAGGAAAGGTTCTTATGAACTACAAAACTGCAAGTATAGGGAGTATAGACAAATGAAATGAAATCAAACTGATGTTTTTAAAACTCTGTTTCGTCTATATTAATATTTTTATTAAGTTAAAAGATTAAAAATAAAGAAAATTAATTTACAAATTTTTAATTATTTCTGTACATAAAGGTTTCTTTTTTCGTTCTGCTTATCATTCTTGTTAATTGCAATACTACCTCAAGAAAGAAATATATACAAATTACCAGAAATCTGATACTGCTGATTCAGTCATTCTTTTGAAAGAGACTTCCGTGTTTCCATGACAACGGTAATCGAAGAAAATGCAGTTCTAAGCATTTATATTCACATCAGCAGAATTACTCACCAGTTACATTCAGCATGGGGTCCGATATCATTCTGCTGCAGCAATCCAAAGCTGCTCTGCAGCAAGCAATCCATTTCCTGGCAAATAAATCCGACTGGAAGGTCTCATAGGCTGGATGACTGATGTTCTCCGGATCTGCATCATAAGAGGTATTTTTGATTGGATCCATCAAGAAGCCTGTTCCTTCATTATATCTGAAATCAAAAAGCAGCTTTAGAAATTGGCTATCATAGAGAAGGAATAGAAATCATTAATTTCTATACTAGGAATGCATATTAAAGGGTCAACATTATTGCGATTCTGATTGCACACTTAATAGTCTAAGTAGTGAATATTGTATTTAAAACAGCATTATTCATTAGGATATTAATAAACATAATCTGCTGATATTAATGCATCTGTATGGCAGTTGTGTTTGCAGAGAAATCATGAAAGATAGGCGCTTCAAAATATTAAGTAGATGGATTTGAGTTGTTTAAATTAAAGATTAGAATTCTAAGTATGAATTGGAAAAGTAGTCTTCGTAGAACAAATGAAATGGAAATAAATTAAGTTCATAAAATGGCGTGCATGCCGAACGTATTTTCTGAGATGTTTGTGTGACTGTTGCCAAATCTAATTTTCTAACACTGTAATTTTACGAAAACAGAGCAATTTTGATTGCTGACAGAAAACACAAGATGAAGAATAAGAAGCTTGTTCTCTTTTCTCCCTTTTTCAGAACTCAAATGATATTTCTCTTCCAATTTTAAATGATTGAAGTTCTAAAATAAATAAATATATAAATATTATAAAGTGAAAATTAGATCCTCTATGGTAATGCCTCTGACCCTCTTAAATTATTATTTGGGTATTTATTTTTCGATTTTAAAATATAGCAATATAAAAATAAAAACCACAATTAATTTTTCCATTGTTTCTGCTTAATCTGATGACAATAATATTTTAATTTCGATATTATAACTAAACTGTACATCTCCGGGCTTTCATTTACATGCAGAATAATACAGTTCATTTATAATAATGAGCAAATTGATCAAAATGGTATGAAACTAACTTTATTTAAATCAAAATGAAGTCGGAAAATGGATTAGCTTTTGATCAAGTCAAAATATGGAAATGAGCTTTTCTATCCTATGTTTTATACGGCTAAAGGTTGTTCACTGCATATCGAACTTCTTCAAACACTGTATTTTAATGCAAGTATTCTTCTAAAAATATTATTTGCATAGTATTTAAATATCTTTATCCGTTTTTAGTATTTTGATAAATTTTATTCTTTTTAAACGGTTTTAAATTAGAAATTAACATAAAAATATAATAACCTAGGGTGAACAAATAAATTAATCGATTAAAGCTCTATGACCAGCGGCTAGAAAAGAGTCAATATTATGTTACTCTTTAGTTAAAAAATTCTCAAATTCTTTTATGCAATATTTTAAAGATTTATAACGCCTTTCTTCATTTAAAAAGTAGCAAAACGGGGGAACAAAATAACTGCATAGCGAAATAGATAGCAATGAAAGAGGAAAAAAAGAAATGAAAGTTTAGTTAACGAAGCTGGTGAATAAAATATGTCAGTACACATTTCATTAATGTTGCAAAAATCTGAGGAATTACCTCTAAAGAAACACATCGACTAGACACTTTTTCAGAGATATAATTAAAGCACATAAAACTTTTCCAGAGAGAAAATAAATTAACAAGGAATTCTCTCCTAATACCGAGATTATGGTGAACTCTTTGGATAATTATATTAACGGTTCAATATCGATCAGGTATTTTCTGCAAACATTAAGGAAATGAAAAATATGTAAACAGGATTTTGAGTTATAACTGCAGACAGTCTTCTACGAATTAACTCTTATCCCTTGTTTTAAAATAAATGCAAAACTTTGTGTTTCTATATTTCTACTATGTTTCGTATATTGAAATATACTGCCATTTTTCAGAGATGTTTTTGGGTCGTTTAAATTTATAATATAATATAATTTTGGTTATCCAAAATAATCTCCGTAAACTTAATCACATTAAAATGTTTCCGTGTACTTATTTTAAATCTTTATCATAGGTGTTAAGTAGTTAGTGGTCGATGATTTTAGCGAAAAATCGATCAAAATTGGGAAACAAAAATTTCATATGATAATATTCTACGGTTTTAACTCTATCGTCTACAAAAAACCGCTTGTGTGTAAAATTATTCTTAAAGATGTATAAGCATTTGAATACGCTTGTTTACCTTTTTTGTGACAAATGTCGGTAAAAAGGTAAACAAACATCTGAAAGTCGCTATTTTAATTTCCGTGACTAATATTTTTTACTATTAGTAAGATATAAATGAGTAAGATAGGAAGGCCGCAATTTATGCAAGTTTGTTTCACTGTTCTTCCCCGGATGACTCATCCCAGACATTATAGACATTATAAATGCCTAATAGGCGTCATATCATGATGTTTTTTTTTTTATTTCCAAGTAGCATTGTCAAAAACAAGAAACCTAAATCTCATTCAATGATAAAAACCAAATTAACAATAGATGTTTTGTCCAAAATACTGCCAGTGTATCAAAGACTAGCCAGTAATGAACTTTTAGGAAGATGCATATTTGTAGAAACACAAAACACTAAAGAGAGTTTACATAGTGTCATTTGAAAGAACTGCCCAGAGAAATATTTGTATTAAAAACAAACTCGAAATAGATGCTATCACAGCAATTAGTAACTTCAGTTTTGAGTGTTTAAATACTTTAGGTATGGAACAGAACTATATAAATTCATGTTCAATATCTATTGGGCAAAGGCAAAATACACATCGTATAGACCTATGTAAAAAGAGGTGTTCGTCTCGATACAAGAAAAGAAGAATTGCCAAAAAACTGTGTAAAGTAGCTAAACATAATGAAAATGTAAATAAGAAAGAGAAAACATACGGTGCAGGAAGTTCTTAAAGTAATTCTTAGTTTAAAAGATGCATTTAGTTGAATTTACTGAAAGTGTTCGAGAAAATTTCTAAAATGATATTAAGTATTTCTTACCATTCTACGATTTTATTAGTAGAAAAAATTATTTATGCATACGTAAATAATGTTAAAATAATTTATATTAAATAAAATCATATATTAGGACATGCTGAGAAGTAAATATTAAAGGTAAGCGTAAAAATATTCTTAAAATGTATTTTTCTCATAATGAAATTTTCGTGATTATTACATTTTCAAAATGCTCCATTCGCTTTACTTTATGCTCAAAATAAATGTAATTTGTAACTTAGATTCCCGTTTATACATGTAACAAAACTAGTATGCATTTTTGAATGCAAATATATTAAGGGGATAAAAGTCCAATTAAAGTATATTAAAGTGGGAAATTTTGTCTAAAATTTAGTTATAGAAATATTAATTAAAAACTAACATTTTATGCAATTCACTAATTGATTCTAAGTTGTGTTTGTAATGCCTTTTCAATAAACCATAGCAGAAGAATTTTGTATATTTTAATAGTTCGGACAAGGAAGTCATGTGGTGTACACATCAGATTTTTTTATCTTGCATAATCCGCCCTTCATAAAGAAAAAAGCTCAGCCACAGAAAAACCTTTTTAGAGAAAAAGCGTTAATGCGTCATTCTCATTCGGAAAAAATAAATTATGAAACTTTAAGCTAAATGATAAGTTTAAAATTATATAGAACATGTATTTTGAGTATATCTATTTTTTAAAATAAGCACACATTTTAGAGTTCTCTTAACATTTGAATACTTCAGTTAAATTTCAAAATGTTCTCGTTTCTGCAAAGTCCAATTATTCTTCTAGGAAAATCTATTGAAGGCTTTTACAGAATAAGAAAAATGTATAGCAATTAACAAAATATTATAACAGTCTGCCTTTCATATTTATAGCTTGCATTTTAGCATTATAAATCCTCTATTAAAATTTGCATTGTTATCGTATTTCATTTACAATTTCCTATTTTACACAGCCTGGAAACTTGAAAAAAAGAAACATAACAGGTTTGAGAAATGTTTCCTATTTAAGCAGTTAATTCGTTTTTATATATGCGTAAATATTATGTTTTTTAAGAAGCAGTACGTAAATTCAGAAATTGAATTAGGCAAAGCATATTTTATGGAAGAACCTATAATTGGAAAAGCGTTTGAGGTTTCTTTAATTCGAATAACCAGTTATTTTATGTTTTGAGTCTGACCTGTCACTTCCCTCTTTCCGTTTTCCCACTAGAATGCAAATTAGTTCTCGTGTATTTCAGTGAGGTTTTGACATTGTTAAGACATAGCGTGTTCTGCGACTCTTGGCCACTTCACTAGGCTTACTGCTTTAGATAAGATACCTTATCCTTGTCTTTGTCCTTGCATTCTAACTGTCGACAGCTGAATCAGCGTCTGTGAAATTCTAGGCCAACTTCGCGCAAATTGCTCTGTGTAGCATTTGGTTATTAGTTTATTTAAATTTAAGGTTTACACTCGCCATATAAAAAGGGGAGGGTATTTTTTTCCCCGCCTTCTTAGCACGCCTTCAAGGTTTAGTAGTCAGTACACTTGACGCGTGTTCTAGAGGTCTGTGAATCGAGTTCAGGCGAGGGCATTGCTCATTTTTCTTCTCTCCTGCTTTTAAAAAAATACCTAATGTTGCTACAGTGGCGCCCGAACTAAAAAATGTGGTGGATGATAATTCTTCACCACCAGAATTTGGCGATTGGGTTCCCTAATCCCCTGTCGCCCTTTAAAAGGGGGAGTATATAAGATATTTCTTCCGCCTTCTTAGCATGCCTTTGTGGTGTAATGGTAAGTACAGTCTTCGCGTATTCGAGAGGTCTGTGGTTCGAGTCCCGCGAGGGCACTGCTCATTTTTCATGTCTCCTGCTTCGAAATAACCTAGTGTAACCTCTACACGCTTACATAGATTTTAACATTGGATGTCACCCAAGAGAGTTAAACTTTACAAGATGATATGTAAATTAAAATAAAAATGAAGAAAAATCAGGCTTCATACAATTATGCTGAATTTTCCACAAAACTGCAGAAACCATTTGACCAAAGAAAATAGTTCCATAATATGCATGTTGCCTGATTAAACGACAAAGATTACATAATACAGAACGAAACTGAAACACATGTTCCTCTTATATATAAAAGTAGAAAGTATGAAAAATTAAAATCCAACTTTATAAAGTCTAGAAGATGA